GCGCCGCAGATTCCAACCCACCACCCGAGCAGGTGATGCGAGGCGTCGTTCCTGAGTTCGGCCTCAGATCGCAGCTCGTCCAAATCTGCTAAAGGATAATAGAATCATTAATATCCTTCAAGCCTAAACCTCCAAACTTATTAAAAATTGTAATCTTATTCCAACCACCCAATGCACCCCTATTTTTACTCCACACCATTAGACCACGAGAAGTTTGCACTGAGCTGAAAAATTTCCTTACAAATGCTCACATGTAAGGCAAAGCATTAATCACAACTTTTAATAGAACCTCTCTCCTAGCTATAAAGAGGAACTTATTCTTCCAACTAATAAGCCTAGATTTCACATACGATATCATAAACTCAAACACATCTCTCTTAGATGTTCATAAACCAAGAGGAATACCTAGATACTTGGAGGAACTACAAACATAAATACCCTCAAGTTTCATACAAACAATTTTCTTAAGTTCCTCAGAAGAGTTTTTGCTAAAGAACACTAGGGATTTTTGCGTATTTACTTTTTGCCTAGTGAAGTTCTCATAGACAGAAAAAAATCCTTCACAAGTTATTTGTAAATGCACATCAGCAACACAGAACACAAGAGAGTCATGAGTAAATAATAGGTGAGTTAATACAGAACCCCCTCTAGTAACCTCAAGCCTTGAATATCCCCCACATTAACAGCTTTGACAATCAATCTTTACAAGATTTCATAGACCAGGATGAAAAGATAAGGAGATATCATGTCACCTTTCCTAATGCCCCTAGATGGGGTTAGAAAAACCATGCACTCTCTCATTTACATTGAAAGAGAAAGCTATTGAAGAAATGCAAGCAAAGATCCACGTCAAAAAAGTTTATAAAATCCCATTTGCAGCATTAATTTGATTAGAAATTTCCACTCCACACGGTCATAAGCTTTCATCATGTCCAGTTTAACAGCCATATAATATCTTTTGCCAGATCTATGTCTATTCAAGAAGTGGATAGCTTCATGTGCTATCATAACATTATCTAGCAACTGTCTATCAAAAATGAAAGCAGACTGAGATTAATGAAAATACAACTTTAGGCAATCTCTTAATATAACGGCTAGAATCTTGGCAATGATTTTATAGAAAACACAACCGAGACTAATAGGCCTGAAGTGGCTCACAGAAGTATTATATTCACATTTTGGAAATAAAGTTACAACAGTGTGGTTCCAACTTTTCAGAAGTCTAGTATAATCAACGAAACTTAAAAGAGCAACACACAAATTATCTTTGATAAAAAGCGAAAAATGGTGAAAAAATAGTTGAGTTATACCATCCTCACCAGGCGCCTTGTTGGGGTACATAGAGAATAAAGCTAATTTCACCTCTGCTTCATTAACTTGAGCCACCAGACTAGAATTAACTTCATCAGAGATTGATTTCGGAATTAAGTGCAACGCTTCAGCTTCCCCACAAGAGCCTCAAACAGTAATGAAATTTTCATAAAAGTTGAGGATGCAATTTTCGATTTGGGCCTGAGACTCAGCCACCCTATTGTTAGAATCAACTAACTTTATTATTTCACTTGACTTTATTCTCTGCATAGTGAGGACATCGAGACAACTAGTGTTCTTGTCACCCACATTCATCCATTGAATTATGGCTTTCTGGCACCATAATTTCTTCTCAGATGAGTTTTATCTAGTTCTCTCTTTACGTTCCACCCAATTTCTCTAACCTCCCAGAGTTCTCATTTTCTCTAAGTGCAAAGTCAAATTTTCAATCTTTTTTACACTCTCATATTTTAGAAAGTGTTCCACTTCAGGAGTGCTATTCCACCCAATTTCTCAGACCTCCAGAGTTCTAATTTGCAAAGTCAAATTTTAAATATTTTTTACATTCTCATATTTTACAAAGTTTGTTCCACTTCTGGAGTGCCATTCTAGTCCTTTTAATTTATTCCTTTATTTGAAACATAGGGATACCTTAAACTTCTACATTCTAAGCTCTGCTAACTTCCTTCTCCATTCATTCTGTCTTCAACCAACGTTTATCAAAGGTAAATCTTTTCTTTAATTGAGGTTTCGGAGAACCTGAATCCAGGATTAACATTGAGTGATTAGAGGAGCTTCTGAAGTAAGTACAAACTTTTGCATCAGGATAAGAAGCCATCCAAGAAAGAGACCCAAAAACCGTGTCCAAATTTTCCTCCACAAAACCTCCGAGGACTCTATTATTTCCCTACGTGAAGGGATACCCCTCCATATTCACTTCTTGTATAATCATGTTTGCAATGAAGCTGTTAAAACCCTCACAACTTTTAGGAGACCTGAATCTTCCCCCTCTCTTATCAAAATTACCACACAAATAAAGTGTGTCTGTGATTTTGGGCAATAATCTGGTAGAAAGTCTTGACTATCATGAGACGTTTGCTCCTGTTCACAAAATGGTTACAGTCTGGTTATTCTTGGCTGTGGCTACTGCTAAGCATTGGGAAGTTCACCAGATGGATGTTCACAATGCTTTTCTTCATGGTGATTTGGCTGAGGAGGTTTACGTGAAGTTTCCTCCTGGTTTTCCTTCTGGCATTGATGAAAAAGTTTGCCGTCTTCGTCGTTCCCTTTATGGCTTGAAACAGACCCCCTGCTGCTGGTTTCCAAGTTTTCTACGGCTTTGAAGTAGTATGGTTTTCGTCAGTCTATCATGATTACTCTCGTTTTACACTGCATTGTGGTTCTGTCCATCTGCAGGTTCTGGTCTATGTTGATGATCTGATAGTTTTCAAAAATGATACCACATCTATTGCGGCCTTCAAGAGTTACTTGATTCGTTGTTTTCACATGAAGGATCTTGGATTGCTTAAGTATTTTCTGGGTATCGAGGTTGCCCGAAATTCTTCTAGCTTCTTTCTCTATCAGCGGAAGTATGCTCTTGACATCATAGCTGAGGTCGGGTTACGAGGGAGCAAGCCAACTGATTTTCCATTAGAGCAGAATCATCAGCTCTCTCTTGCTGAGGGTGATCTATTGTCTGATCCCGAGCGATATCGTCGTTTAGTCGGACGTCTTATCAATCTAGTAGTGACTCGACCTGAGCTGTCTTATTCGGTGAAATTGCTCTCACAATTTATGCATCAACCGCATCAGACTCCCTAGGACTCTGCTCTGCATGTGGTTCAATATTTTAAAGGCTCTCCTGGTCAGGGGATTCATCTCCGTACTGACTGCGATATTCAACTATATACATGGTGTGATTCGGATTGGGCATCTTGCCCTCTCACTCGAAGCTCTCTTTCTGGTTGGTTTATTCAGCTGGGTCAGTCTTCTATTTCTTGGCGAACCAAGAAACAACCTACTGTGGCACGCTCTTCTACTGAGGCTGAATATCGACGATGGCTACTACATTGTGCGAGTTGAAGTGGTTACAGGGACTATTATCTACTTTTGGTTTCACTCTCAGCCTATGCGGTTACACTGTGACAGTCAGTCTGCATTGCATATTGCGTCCAATCCAGTTTTTCACGAGCGGACTAAACACATTGAGGTGGATTGTCACTTTATTCGAGATGTTGTTCTTCAGGGTCTCATTTCTACTACTCATGTTCCTTCTGGGAATCAACTCGCTGACATCTTCACCAAGGCGCTTGGGAAGCGTGAATCTGATTTTTTTTCTTGGCAAGTTGGGCATTCATAATCCGCATGGTCCAACTTGAGCGGGGGTGTTATTGTGTATATTTGTGTATTTACTATATTAGCCTTAGGTTCAATTTAGGTAACTCTAGCCCTAATTTTGTGTATATATTCTTGGTTAATAGAGAGTTGTATCATCTGATTGAGATTATCTTTCCCTCAAATTATATTCCTTCTTTTTATTATCACTATAAACCACTTTTCCCCTCCAAAGATTCATACTGGTTTCTGTTGGTATGGCTCATATATTGACAAAGGAAGGAGGCAGGCTGATGCCTGCGGCGTAACAGAGCGAACGTAGCGAGGGAAGGGGAGCGACCGAGCGAAGTGAGCGGAGTAGAGCGAGAGACGTTGAACGATATCCTGAGTGAGCTCGACGTCGGCATCAATCAGCTCGTACCTACCATTTTCCCTAGACTAATAAGCCTGATCGTCCTTCATCGCCGTCAACGTTGGGCGGGTCCGACGGCCGCCGAGGTGAAGTCGCTCCTTAACTTCAAACTAGGTTCTTCCGAGAATTATTATTGTGTGACCGTACCCGGCGTCGACAGTTCGGTGGTCTACAAACTTTCGGAGACTCTCCATGGTTATTTACCGGAGTGGTTCTGGGTTGGTGGTGCTTGACGCACTGTGGGCGCTACTCGGCACCCTCAGACCGATTTTATCGCCGATCCTCGTAAGTTTCGGTGCCTACTCTGGTAACCTGTTCTGTTTCGAATTTATTTTTTGTGCTAATAGGTCGGTATTATGTGTTTTCAGTCCGTGGTCGGAGTCCTCCCATCAGAAACATCTTCGCTGACCGACTCAAAATTCTACTCGGCCTCTCCCCTAGAGCCGACATTACAAGAGTCTCGTAAAACAGAAAGCGCTATTGGGCTGGGTCGATTAGTTGGGCCGGGGTGCGGGGGCAGAGCCCCCGCGGTATAGACGGGGGTGCGGGGGCAGAACCTCGCGGTACGGTACGGGGTATTTAAACAAATTAATATCTTTTAGGGTTATAGTATAAATACATGGTGTATTGATGTATTTGAGACTATTGAGAATAATAAAGATCCCTCAGCCGCCGTGGACGTAGGCACATTGCCGAACCACATAAATCTTGTGTTGTTTACTTTTCTCGTTTTAATTCGTATGCCATATTGTCATCTTCACTCAACAAGTGGTACCAGAGCTTGATTGATTGGGCGACGGAGATGACGGGAGGATCAAAATTCAATTTCAAGGTCTCGAAATTTGATGGTCATGGCAATTTCGGATTATGGCAAACGAGAGTAAATGATCTATTGGCGCAACAAGGAATTCATAAAGGGTTGCGCGCATAAAAGCCTAAGGGGATGGAAGACAATGATTGGCAAGATCTCCAGGAACAGGCAGCCGAGACAATTCGGTTGTGCCTTGCAGATGAAGTTATGTATCACGTTATGCATCTCAAATCGGCGGATGAGATTTGGAAGAAACTGGAACCGCAGTTCATGTCGAAAACCCTAACGACAAAACTGTATCTGAATCAAAGGTTATACGGGCTGAAGATGCAGGAGGGGACCGATTTAGGGCAACATGTGAATATCTTCAATCAGGTTGTCATGGATTTGGCTTCACTCAATGTCAAGATTGAAGATGAAGACAAGGCGATGATCTTACTGTGTTCGTTACCTCCTTCTTACGAACATATGGTGACTACCCTTACATATGGGAAAGAAACGATCAAGACTGAGGAGATTACTTCAGCATTGTTGGCTCACAACCAGCGGGAACAGAAATCTGGAGAGTCATCTTCTCAAAGTGACACCTTATATGTGAAGGGTAACTAGGATCGTGGAAGAAGACAGGGGCGAGATAATTCAGGAAATCGGAATTTCAGATCCAAGTCGCGAGAAAAATTGCAAGGGAGGAAAACTGTGACGTGTTATAAGTGCAAGGAACAAGGGCACTTTAAACGGGATTGCCCAAAGTGGAAGAAATAGACTGCTGATATGTCATCCAAGTCTGCGAATGTGGTACAGAATGAGGAATCTGATTGCAGTGATGGAGATATGTTATCTATTTCGACTGCGCAGTATGATGATGCTTGGATTCTCGATTTTGGATGTTCTAATCGTATAACGCCTAACAGAGAGTGATTTGCTACTTATAAATCAGGTAACTCGGGTTCTATTTTTCTTGGTGATGAAAGATGTTGAGGTATTGTCGGTATTGGGGATGTCAAAATCAAGATGTATGATGGAATTGTTAGGACATTATGTGATGTGAGACATATCCCTGAGTTGAAGAAGAATTTGATTTCTTTGGGTACTTTGCATAGAAATGGTTTCATTCCCAAGGCTGATGAGGATAGGGAACCATTAAGATTGTGAAGAGTGCCTTGACTGTGATGAAGGGGAGGATCACTGCAGGGAATATTTACAAACTGTTGGGAAGTACAGTTGTAGGTGGAGTCCATTCGGTGGAGTCGTGTGAAGATAGCACGAAATTGTGGCACATGCGTCATGGACATCTTAGTGAACATGGTATGACTGAACTGCATAAGAGGGGGCTTCTGCCTGGTGTTAAAACTTGCAAACTCAATTTCTGCAAGTTTTTGTGTTTTTGGGAAAGCAGACAAAAGTCAGTTTCAAGACTGGGAAGAAGAAAACAAAAGAAATTCTGGATTATGTACATTCAGATGTGTGGGGTCCTACTAGAGTGACATCGATTGGTGGTTCTGTGTACCATGTGACCTTTATTGATGATTTTTCGAAGAAAGTTTGGGTGTATTTCATGAAGCATAAATTTGAAATTTTTGCTAAGTTCAAGCTATGGAAGGATGAGGTGGAGAACCAGACTGGTAGGAAGATCAAGTATTTAAGGTATGATAATGGTACACAGTACACGGATTCACAGTTCCAAAAGTTTTGTGAGGAGCATGGGATTCAAAGGCATTTTACAGTGCGTAAAACACCACAGTAGAATGGTGTTTCTGAGAGGATGAATCGGACACTGGCTGAGAGGGCGAGGTGTTTAAGACTGAATGCGGGTTTGCCAAAGAGTTTCTGGGCTGAGGCTGTAAGTATGGCTTGTTATTTGATTAACATATCACCACGGGCATCTCGCAGAAGAAGTATGGACAGGTAATGATGTTAGTTTTGATCATCTGAAGATTTTTGGTTGTCCTGCTTATGTTCATATTCCTGCTGATGAGAGGTCAAAACTTGATGCTAAATCAAAGAAGTGCACTTTTTTGGGCTATAAGAAAGGTGTGAAGGGATACAAGTTTTGGGATCCAGTTGAGAAGAAGACGGTGATTAGTAGAGATGTAGTGTTTGATGAACAGTCTATGTTGGGATCAGATGCAGATAAGGTACAGGTGGAGTTGGAACATGTTCCAGCAGTTCTTGATAAGGGAGAGAGTTCGAGTTCTGCACCTGATGATGTTTATCATGATATTTCAGGCCCAACTGATGTGCCAGAGAGCTACAAGTTAGCTCGGGATAGAGTGAGGCATACCAATATACAAGCTCCGGTCAGGTTTGGTTATGAAGATATGGTCGAATATGCTCTTACGATCACTAGTGTGGATCCTTGTACTTTCCAGGAGGTTGTTTCTTGTGAGAACAGTGATAGATGGAAGGCTGCCATGGAAGAAAAGATGAATTATGTACATAAGAATCAGACATGGGAGTTGGATGTTCTTCCCAAAGGGAAGAAAGCTTTTGGTTGTAGGTGGATTTACACAAGGAAGTCATCGGTAACAGAAAAAGGAGGGGAAAGGTTCAAGGCTCGATTGGTGGCTAAAGGATACTCACAGCAAAAGGGGATTGACTATGATGAGACATTTTCCCCTGTGGTTAGACATACTTCGATCAGGGCTGTACTTGCATTGGTGGCTAGTTGGGATTTGCATTTAGAGCAGATGGATGTGAAGACTGCTTTCTTGCATGGTGATCTCGCAAAGCCTATTTACATGCAGCAACCAGAGGGTTTTGTTCAACCAGGGAAGATGCATTTATTTTATAGGTTGAAGAAATCCTTGTATGGCTTGAAGCAAGCATCACGGCAGTAGAATATACGGTTTGATTCATATATGCTGAAGATTGGCTACAATCGTTGTGAGTTCGATTGTTGTGTTTACACTAAGAGCCTTGGTGATGGTTTTATGATTTTTCTGGTACTTTATGTTGATGACATGCTTATTTCTGCCAAGAATATGCGCGATTTTGTTGATCCGAAAAGCCTTTTGAGTCAGAAATTTGAAATGAAGGATTTGGGGGCTGCGAAGAAGATTCTTGGGATGGAGATTCACAGGGATACAGGATCAAAGAAGTTGTGGTTATCTCATAAGAGTTATGTGGGGAAGGTGCTACAGAGGTTTGGGATGAATGAAGCAAAACCGGTGAGCACTCCATTAGCAAACCACTTCAAGATTTCTGTTGATCAGTGCCTCAAGTCGGACAAGGAGACTCAGGATATGGTGGAGATACCTTATGCCAGTGCTGTTG